GTAGCCGGGGGCGGGGGCAGCAACTGATTTCGGGGGCAGCTATTTCCGCTCCCGTCTGCCCCCGTTGACATCCCTATTCCACTCCTTCAAGAAAATGCCAAAGAATCACTCCTTTTTCACTCACACATACTCACAAAGCTCACAATCACGGATTAGGGTTTGCTGGACTATGGGAAGCGATGAGGGAGGCCACAATGGGGGTGTTAAGGTCTTTAAATAGGGTGTAAACCCTGAAAATTAGGGTTTCACTCTGGCAGCCCTACTCGTCGAGTCGAGGCTCATCGACTCGTCGAGTAGACTTCAAGTCCCGTGTCCAAAAATCCCATTCCTACTCGACGAGTTTGGGGCCTCCAACTCATCGAGTCCCTTTGCAAAAATGAATAATTATTTATTAAAATACATACGAGGAACCGGGTGTTACAGTTGAAGCTCTTGCAGAGCTTGTATACCACTGTGTTATACATAAACCGAGTCCCAATGACAAATTAATCAACAATCACTAATGACAGTGGATCCATTTTAGGTAAAAATTACATGAAACATTACCATTTCCATATAAGTATCAAGTTAGGAAACAAACCGTTGCTGTAACATCATGTTTCTGTCGGTAAACATCAACCGATGACAAATTCATAGCATCTGGAGAGGCCATAACTGATGAGGTTGGCCTCATCATAGGATTATTCATATAAGGTGGACCACCCATAGCTTGTGCTTGTCCATACATGTTATGTGATGTTGGATTCATCTCCTAAAAGAGCACAAATTACATTAGGAATCATATAGCCTAGCCAGTCAGCAAGATTAAATTCGTAATGAAAACAAGACTAAACCAAAGTAAATATAAGAGAAGATGTGAAGCTCATAAATAAAAAATACAATACTTTATCGGCTGCATTCTTGCTATTTATTTATTTTATGGACAACAGTAACAGAGAAGCATCACGCGTCTTACTAACATTGAACATGCCTCATTTATCAACGAAAAGTGACCTTCAGATTCATTTCCTCCAATATACCTGCAACAAAAGTAATCAATTAATTGTACTCAGACTTTATAAATCACAAAAAATAAAAATAAATAAATGATGATACGAATTTGTAGAACATACATTGTACCAGAACATTTTCCTTGCCAAGCTGCATCCTTTTCTTTCTCATTTTTCATTTGCTCTAAAACCATATTTCCTAATCCTGAACTTGGAAGCTCTGTTCTCCAACCATCCCTTGAAGATTTTCCAGAAGATTGTAATTTATCAACAACCTGAACAGTCGAGAACAATAGTTTCATTTTCTAATTCTAATATAACACATTTAACACAATATTGTATAATTTGTATGTCAAACCTAGTACTTCTAGCCAAATGAAAAATTAGTATCGATTCTAAAGCTTTTTATAATACAAGCTACATGAAACTTTAAGAAATCACTCAAAAACTGCAAGCTTTAAATCGATGTCATATGTTACCCACCCTGTAGTAAATGAATGACTTTACTGTGACAACCCGAAATTTCTATCTTGTACATCCATTCAATTCAATCAAAGTCAGACTAGTTTCTGTTGTCTTTTAGCAATGTTAAGGGTCTGTTTGAGAGTTTCTAAGCCTAGTGTAATGTATGAATGGATGCTAGGATGTGTTAGCTTGAGATCGGGAGGATAAATTCGATATGGAAAATCACTCACTAGGTGTTCACGGCCGCAAACTAGATTCACGGCCATGAACCACCTCCTATATATAATGGAGTGACTTCATTTCTTCTCACTTTTCCTCCTCTCAATCGTGAACATCCTTTCTCTCTCAACTATCTTCGACCGTGAACCCTCCAAAGCTCAAAAAACGTAAGTGTTTCAACCTTAAACTTGTCATACTTGAAGAGCTACTAGATCCTATCCGCGAATTGTCAAGTTTCATCACCACCTTCATGAACTTGAATGGATCACGGCCGTGAACCCTTCATAAGGGCCGTCAACCCTTCATAAGTTCATAGGGCCGTGGACACCTCATGAGGCCGTGAACCTCATGAGGTCGTGCACGCATTAGGGTCGCAAACCTATCCATGGGTGGCCGTGAACCCCTTTCAAGCTTCCATTTGTGAGCCTAACACTTCATTTAGGGTGTTTCCTACAATCTTAGGTGGTTTCCTATACTTGTTAGTAGTTATAACCACTAATTGAATACACATATATGTGAATATATGCCTTATAGGATCCAACTGTGCTTCGGAACTTCATTTGTGAATTCAAGCATCCTATATCTATCTTATCTTCCAGATTAACCACAATCAGGTGAGTTCATACCCCTAACTTATCTTTTAAATTATTTTAAATGCTTTTGTGGGGGAGAATACAAGTAGAAAACATTATAGTTATTATATCAATCACATGTGATTAATATCAATCAAGTAGATTTCTTATTCTTCAAAACTGTGTTATCAAACAAACTGCTTCAAATCGTTTTTAATAAACTCTTTTATATGTTAAACTCTTTATCACTTTACAAAACTCTTTTTAAACTTATATATTGTCCAAATCATGCCTATATAGATATACTTATATAAATAAGGTTGAAAGGGCTTAGGACTGATAACTCGCCTTATTTCCTGTTCCTTGTTTGGTTGTGGACTTAGGGTATCGGTTGTTTGTCCGACTATCGTTTGAATCTTAGTTATATATTATGTATATGTATATAGATATAAAAGTTCTTCCTTTTAGTTCAATACCTTTGGGTAGCAAAGGCATACATACATGTTCGGTCATTCAGACAACAGTACTAGTAAACTATAATATGTATAGTTTAGGAAGTTACTACTTACTATTTCTAGAACAATGAAACATACAAGAGTCAGTTCATACATAAGTCAGTTCAAACATACTATAATGAGAAACAGAGAGAACATACTATACAAAGAGAACATACTAGATACTAGAACAGAGAGAACATACTATACAAATACAATAACAAAGATAACATTAATGTGAGCCACTACTTCATGGCATGACAATATACTGCTGTGTCACATTTTATAACCAGAGTCTCCTGGAGGGAGAGCGTGAATTTGTGTATATATCTATATGGGATTGACCATCCTACACCTTGCTTCTAGCTACAGTGGGACCTGCAGGTCTACGGGTGACGAATGTCATACCATTTCGACGTCTTTGATCGTCGTGTTTTTACTAGTCAATCAAGTATGGTTATAATCTAATCACATTTTACCTTAATTAAACAAACTGGTTTAAGGTAGTTAGTACATCGGTAGTTACCTATATACAATACTACAATACATCCTTATTTTTCAATTACATTCATTTTGTGATCTTCTCACATAAACAGTAATGTAAACTATATTTTGGTAATGATAGTCATACTTGGGAAAAACACT